TCCCTGCAGCCAGCCTCCTCCCTGCAGCCAGCCTCCTCCCTGCAGTCAGCCTCCTGGGCTCAGCTGCACAGTGTCCCTTAGCTCATGCTGTCCCCACTACCTGCCTGGCCCTGCCTGCAAAAGAGGTCCTGGCACCCCACTGGCTGGGGCCGGTTTCCAGCTCTGCTACTTAGCAACGTGTCCCAGCACAAGTCACTAAGCCTCTGTGTCTAGTGCTTCTTTGGTAAACTGAGTTTAATAATAGTATCTTCTTTACAAGGTTGTTGGGAGTTTTAAAGGAACTAGACACACGAGTGCTTAATCAGTTACAACTAGCACATAGTAATCACTCAGTACATCATCCCCACAGCAATTAATTCCCTGTCACACCTTTAACCTCAATTGTCTGTGCCCCACTCCTCCTGCACCTGCCCTAGAGTCATTTCCACAGGGACGCTGCTGGGCATGGGTGCTGTGTCCCTTCCAACCCCAGTGCCAAGCATGAGGCCTGGCGCTTACTGGCCTCAAGAGTTTACTGAGCAAATGTCAATGCATATAAAACTGAGGTTGGAGTGGCAAGGCTGCTGGTGGCGAGGTCATGATGCTGGGCAGACAGCAAACTCTTAAGATGCTGAGCCAGCTGAGACTCAGGGCCTAGGTGAAGCCTCAGGCGGTGGTCAGGGCTACCTAGGCAGTGGACTTGCTGTGTCTGTGCACAGGCCCTCTCTTCACAGAGAGGAGTGCAAGCCTCCAGCAGTGGCATCTCTCCCACTGCAAGGAGCAAGGCAGCCCAGTGGTGAGGACGTGTGGGCCCGGTCTGACAGTGAACTCCATCCCCACCCCAAAACTAGGCAACCTCAGAGTAAGCAAGGGAGAGGCATCCCAGCAGAGCTGCAGAATGACAGCCCTCGCCTTTCTGTCCCAGAGCAGCACAGAAAGGATGTAAGTGCCAAGAAACCCACAGGAGAAAGCTTTAATAGCAAACAGTTAATACAGATTGGATGATAAACACATTTGCAACTATTGGTGAAACTGACTAAACACAGTTATAAACATCTAGAGCCCAGCTCTGTCAACTGGACTTTCCTATGTGCACATTCCAAGCTGTAAGAAATGAAGGTTAAATTCATCCACATTCTGAATACAGACTTAAATTTGAAGAATGTGACATGCAAATAAGATGAGGCGATTTCCAATTTCAGACTCAAAATGGTCATTTTTGCAAGGTTCATAAATATACGCTACACACATACAGCGGCCTATTTCTGTGGTTTCATATCTTGTGTACCTTTTGTATTTTCTTTGAATCTTTCTGAGCATTCTCCCGGAGTGGCACTTTCCCAAATAACTTCCATCCCAAGTCATTTTGTTTGTCAAGTCTTGCACTTTGTTTTCTAGCAAGCAGATTCCTATAGGAAGAAAATAACAAGGTTAGGGCATTTCTGAGTATCTAAAGAAACAGCAAGACAGCAGAATCACTCTAATACAAATAAGTCAACTTTCTTCTGAGAGGGATAATGTGACGAACCACATACTTTAATTCTTCACACTTGATTTTCACACAGAGTTATACAGCAGGACAAAGACCTTAAGCCAGAAATAAACTTTTTGTTATTCAACTATTAAACTTACAAATTCTATAATTTACAGTAAAAAAAAAAAAAAAAGCGTTATATCATAACAAAGGGTATCAGAAAAAGTGAGCTTTGAAGTCAGACCAAACTGAATTGAAACCCTGGCTCAAACATTCATTAGCCACATGGCACTGGGCCAGTGTATTAACCCCTCCAAGCCTCAGTGTCCTACGTTTAACGAGGCCACACTGCCCCATGTTCTACAAGGTTGTTAGACACATTAAAATTTCAAGTACACAATCAGTGTTTAACAGCAACAGCTGCTTTGGTACGTAACCTCTAGCTTAAATTATCTACAAGGTAAATTTGTATTACCTGTTTATAATGAGTGTTCACATATCATAAAAAGAAAGTTATTCATGAGATGGTCACAAGGTCTTCTCTCCCAAGAACATGTAAACAAAAGTTTCTAGTGACACAAATAAATCCCAACCGGTAGTATTAATACAAAATAAACTATGTTTGGAATGCACGGTCTTGGCGCATTCGTTAAAAACAAATGGCTTCTAGGACTTACTAGAAAGTACAACACGAGCCTGTAGCATCTTGCTGGACTAGAAAGTGCTCAAAGAAATATGGGGACGGAACGGGCGCAGTGGCTCACGCCTGTAATCCCAGCACTTTGGGAGGCTGAGGCAGGCGGATCATGACGTCAGGGGATCGAGACCATCATGGTCAGCATGGTGAAACCTCATCTCTACTAAAATACGAAAAAATTAGCTGGGCATGGGGGCGCGAGCCTGTAGTCCCAGCTACTCAGGAGGCTGAGGCAGGGGAATTGCTTGAACCCGGGAAGCAGAGGATGCTTGAACTGAGATCGTGCCGCTGCACTACAGCCTGGGTGACAGAGCAAGACTCCATCTCAAAAAAAAAAAAAAGAAAGAAAGAAAAAGAAAGAAAGAAAGAAATATGGGTACGCATCTAAGAGAAACAGTGGCCAGCTTGAACAGGCTCCCACCGGCTCAATCTGGAACAATTTAATGACTGAAATAATGAGAACAATGGATTATAACTCACTGAATAAAACAAATCCACTAGCCCACATAGGTACAAATAAACGAACACAGAAATTAATGGGGGAGGAGGAAAGCTCTTGGGAAGCCACCTAGTACCTAGGAGAGAAAGACTGATGGAGCCAGGAAATGAGCAACGGATGCTTATACTAGTGGGTGAAAGCTGAATGAGGAATGGATTTTTACATAGCTCGAAAGTGTCTCCTACAAATTCCTTATTAATGACACAAGGCAAAAGAGTTAATAATATGCTGGAGAAACTTGAGGGACAGCACTTCAGCCAAGCGATCAAAGCTAACATCACCAGCCAGGAGCGGTGGCTCATGCACTTTGGGAGGCCAAGGCAGGAGGATAGCTTGAGGCCAAAAGTTTGAGATAGCCTGGGCAACATAGCAAAACTCTGTCTCTACAAAAACTCTTTTTAAATTAGCCAGGTACTGTGGCATGTATCAGCAGCCATAGCTACCACTGGGGAGGCTGAGGTGAAATCACTGGAACCCAGGAGTTCAAGGATACAGTGAGCTATGATTATGCCACCAGCCTGAGCAAGACACGTCTCTATTTAAAAAATAATTTTTAAAAACGCCAGAAGGCACAGGACACCTGATCTGATGCACAGAGAGCAACACTCCGAGTTGATGGCGCTGATACTTAAGAATGCATGACCTGAATCCAACATGAAGAGAAGCAGACACACCCAGACTGAGACAATCTATAAAATAACGGACCTACAAGCTCTCAAAATGTCCATATTATGAAAACAAAGGAAGGCTGGGGAAATGTTTCTGATGAAAAGGACATGAAAGAGGGCTGGGTATGGTGATGCATGCCTGTAATGCCAGCTACTCAGGAGGCTGAGGCAGGAGAATTGCTTGAACCCAGGAGGCGGAGGTTGCAGAGAGCCAAGATCACACCATTGCACTGCAACCTGGGTGACAGAGTGAGACTCTGTCTCAAAAAAAAAAAAAAAAAAAGATTATTGGGATAATTGATGAAGTTTGATTACAGACTGTGGATTTAAAAACAGCATTGGATTAATGTTAAGTTTCCTCATTTTGACAACAGTTCCATGGTTACATAAGGGAATGCCCTTGTTCTTAGGAAATATGCTGATATATTTAAGGGTAAACAGACATGGTATAGCAAACTTACTCTTCTAATGGCACAGGAAAAGATATGTATATACACTATCATATATAAAGAGAGGTAGAACAAGGCCAGGCACAGTGGCTCATACCTGTAATCCCAGAACTTTGGGAGGCCGAGGTGGGTGGATCACATGAGGTCAGGAGTTTGAGACCAGCCTGACCAACACAGAGAAACCCTGTCTCTACTAAAAATACAAATTTAGCCGTGTGTGGTGGTGCATGCCTGTAATCCCAGATACTTGGGAGGCTGAGGCAGGAAAATCGCTTGAACCTGGGAGGTGGAGGTTGCGGTGAGCCGAGACTGCACTATTGCACTCCAGCCTGGGAGAAAAGAATGAAAATCCATCTCAAAAAATTAAAAAATTAAAAATTTAAAGGAGAGGCAGAACAAATGAAGCCAAATGTATACCGCTGGTGAATCTGGTAAAGAATCTATTGGAGTTCTGGGGTTTTGCAATTTTTTAGTAAATTTGAAATTTTATCAAAATAAAGTTACAGAAACCTTCAAAAAAAGAAAACACATAGTTTCACTATTTCCTTCCTTTTCTGTTGTGGTTATAATCACTTCAGAAAATAGCTTCATAGCCCAAGGCAATTTCTATTTACAAGAAAGGAACTTTCATTATGATCGGGCCACTGCACTTCAGCCTGGGCAACAGAGCAAGACCTTGTCTCAAAAAAACAGAGAGAAAGAACTCTGAACTGTCTGAGATCCAACCCATTTAACATCTAAGATTTTGCCATCAGTGAAGAACTCATACAATTAAAAGCAGGTTAAAACTGCAGGCAGTAGAAGGTACAAGAACCTGGTAGCCAGAACCTGGGCTCACTAGGGGTGTACATTTTGCTGAAGAGGCATTGTTGGTCTCTGGGAAACTGGCATAAGGCAAAAAAGAAACCAAACTGCAGTCAGGAAGTGGAAGGCACCAGGATCCGGGCAGGCCTCTTGACTCTGGAGGGACGGGAGCTGCAGAGGGTCTAAGGAATGGACAGGAGAATTGCACAGATGCCGCTGCGTGTGGGGATGTGCAGAAAAGAGAAGTCTGGGTGAGCGGCTCCCAGGTTTGTGGTCTGGAAGGCTGAGCACAAGCGGGGGTGTTATTCACCAAAACAGGGGCTGGCAGGAGGAAAACTAAGAGGAACAGAACACTTGGGTTTTTCAGGTCTCAGCTCACACTGCATTAGTCTGTACCAAGGTAGTGCAGATAAAAATTAATGTCAAAAATCAAAGTTGTGGCCAGGCACAGTGGCTCATGCCTATAATCTCAGCACTTTGGGAGGCCGAGGCGGGTGGATCGCTTGAGCCCAGGAGTTTGAGACCAGCCTGTGCACCATGGTGAAACCCGTCTCTATTAAAAATACAAAAATTAGCCAGGCATGGTAGCGCATGCCTATAATTCCAGATAATCAGGAGGCCGAGACAGGAGAATCGCTTGAACCTGAGAGGCAGAGGTCGAGCCGAGATCACGCCATTGCACTCCAGCCTCGGCGACAGAGTAAGACTCAGTCTCAAAAAAAAAATCAAAGTTGCATGATTATTTTTAACATAAGAGCTTAGGCTCATGATAGGCCATGACTCTTGAAAAGTTCATAAAAAACATGTTGATATTTTTCTTGTGTATATAAGAGGCTGAAGTATGACCCCAAAACAAGTCACTACAAGTGGAAAGGTGCTACAGCCTGGGCTCTGGGCTGAAAGGACATCCTCCTTTCTGGTGGGAGAGCCACTGGGAGCCCAGCAGTTCCCTGGCTGCTGCTTCATGCGCTGTGTGGCCCAGTGAGGCAGCCCAACCCTTGGCCTTCAGATGGTGAGCACACAGTGGCCACAGCCACCATCCCAGACACTCCCAGGAGACAGAACAGAGGGGGCTGCTGGCTCCAAGCTTCCTCTTTTCATTATTTCAAATGCACGTGCCCCACCCCCAGCATCAGAAATCCTCACACTTGCCCTCAGGGTATTCTGCAGAGCCTTCCCCGACCAGCTGCCCAGGCCTGGGCTCCCTTGCTTCTGTTTCCAAAGCACAGGGCATTCCCTTTATGGGATGGTGCCGATGGGATGGACTGTATCCCCTCTCCTTTCCACGTGCCTTCGCCTTTCGGTGGGGTCTCCCAGAGGGCAGGGTGGAGCCACCTCTGCATCCCCAGGATCTATCCAGCTTGCAGTAGGTGCTACACACGTGTCTGCTGGCAAATGGAGCAGCCATCCTGTGTGTGGGCAGGGAAGGCAAGTGCAGGGTGATGAGGAGGCAGGATTGACATGCAAGGTGCAGGTGCCAGGTAAGGGGAGTGCAACCCAGACAATCAAGGCCTGGGACAGAGAACTCAACACGGGTAACCTCTCAGCAGGAAGGAATCTCCGTGGAAAGAAGGGGTAACAGGTGGTGGAGAGCTGGCAGAAAGCAGGCAAGGAGTGGCAGACCACCACAACCTCCCTGGAGTGGGCTGGAAGCTGGGGGGCAGCCAGCAGGGGATGAGGGCCATTTGCCAACCCTGCCACAGGAACATTGGACTCCTTTTGTTTTGCATCCCCAATAAAGGGTCCTCGGTGGGAAGAAGAAACTCCTTCGTCCCATAGAGAAAAGCACTCTACCAGCAGCATTAAGGACAAGCAGCT